TATATGGTAAGGTCGGCATGCGTAAAAAAAAAATTATTTTTTTTTTTTAAATCTTTTTTTTCCATTTTCCTATTTTTCTACGTAATTTTTTTTCATTCATGTAACTGTTTTGCTATTTTGCCCACTACCTCGGAGGTAACAAGCAGAGTAGCCAAGCCGAATGCCGCTAGGCAGCATTCAGCTATTCACTTACTGCCGTTCGTCCCCTTTGAGAATAGGGGCGACCGGTAGCGAGTGAGCTGCTGGAGCTTCGGCTCAGCCGATCCAGATGTTGGATCGGCTGAGACAAAGTCCTTCTGCACAGCTGAAATCAGCCTTACAAGGTTGAAGTGAATAACTGAACAGCGTTCGGCTCACTTCACTTCATCGCCGTTCGGCCCCTTTGAGGATAGGGGCGACCGGTAGCGAGTGAGCTGCTGGAGCTTCGGCTCAGCCAATCCAGATGTTGGATCGGCTGAGATAAAGTCCTTCTGCACAGCTGAAATCAGCCTTACAAGGTTGAAGTGAATAACTGAACAGCGTTCGGCTCACTTCACTTCACCAGAGTTTCCTCGCAATTGGAAATTGAGAGAGAAGCTTGCAAAGGCTTACAACTCAAAAACATATATAAAGTTAAGAAATATAAAAAAATTAAAGATAAGTTCTGCCGTGTAAATTGAAACACATAACAAATAGTATGTGGGGTTTCTCAAATTTAACTGCAAAAGTAGAAAAACGCTTTGACCCTTTTGCTGCCATACGTTGTGACGGTAATTAGGTTTTTAACATATCAATATTAGCTATGAAATTTTCTCTCCCCTCATCTTGAGAAAATGCAGCCTTCAATTCAGTTCCATTGATCACAGGTTTCCCTAATTTTGCCAAGCATCTCCACATTCCAGAAAACAGATATCGGCTAATCTGGCCTGTGTTCTTTATAGTCCTTGGGACTAATTACCTAAGCAAGATATCAGTTCTACCCTCCTAACCTTTTTTTATGGCCGCCCTAATGAAAGTCAACCAAGCAGATTGCACAAATAAATTAGCATTTGACAGATTTAGATAAACACAAGGATCTGGCAAGGATAATGACCCGGTCACTATCCTTGCCAGAGTCATAAAACTGAGAATTTGACAGTTTGGGAGGAGCAGAGAGGAGCATCATAAAGGCTTAGCCCTCCTGCTTTCCCTCCTCAGCTCTGCCTTATAAGCTGGCTTTTTGACACCTCCCTAGAGGAATGACAAAAAGATGCTGCAAAGTCAGCTAAGGAAGCTTTCATTTGAACATAAAGAATAGAGGCTCTTATTTTAACTTCAATACGAAGCCCATGTAACATCAGAAGAAGTAGCTCGTGTAACGTCCAAGAGGAGTTTCCTTTTAACATAGTTACATAGTATTTGGGGTTGAATAAAGACATACGTCCATCAAGTCCAACCCATATAGGTCCACGCATCATCTCATTCTTAGGGATACTGGTATCCCTGGATATTACGGTCCCTCAAGAAATTGTCCAATTGGTGGGGGTTGTGATAGAGACTGGAGGGGAGAGGGAGAGAGACAGATTGACTGACACTGAGAGCTTCTCAGCATCGGTCTGTCTTTCTCTGTCACGCTTCCCTCCCTCC